TTGACCAAAATTATTATGATAATGATTTTGGCCATAATCAAGCAGCCCTATTTCCACACCAAACTCAGAAAACATTGAATTTATGTTTATTTATATATAACAATATTATTCATAAGATTCCACTATATCCTGTAGCATTAAGATTTGTTTTAATTGTAACAAAGAGTTCAAGGGTAGCTTTATTATCCCCAATTTGTTATACAGCCAGCAGTATATACATAATCAACATCACCGGACAACAACCAATGAGATGATATAACAAATAAAGTGCTCCAAGTACATAAATACAATACAAATATCACATAAAGTTATTTAAAAGGCAAACAGGGCGCAGGAACAAATTAATATTTCAGTCTATTGGTCCTGCATCATGGCACAGTGAATCTACAGCTAGACGGAAGCAACTTAAACTCTTTAAACAGTGGGTGGCTAGGATCAGCCACGATTGACTGGGCCTTCTTCAGAGACCTCACCTTGTACAGGTATGGGATCTCATTCAGCGTCGTGCCTGCAATTTGCTGCACACTTTGACTATCCCCTGAATTCTATTTCTGTTTTTGACGGTAGGACGCCCCTACCAGCTAATGAGACATTTTAATAAAAGTATTATCAACCTTAAAACTACAGAGCTTTCAATAAAACCTCATACGCTTTCTTACCACATGAAACTCAAAGGTCAGCTTGTCATCAATTATTGTGCCAAGATATTTGTACTACTGCACAAACAGCCTGCTTATTAATGATCGCAGGAGAAATTACACGATTCTTCCTGAATTCTAATGTGATCTCTTTAGTTTTGGACATATTTAAGACTAAGAATGACAACTTGCACCAGTCTGTAAATTCCAGGGCCGTGATCAGGGTCATCACTACTGAGTAGACACACGATGACAGAATATTCTGCAAACTTAACAATATGACGTCTCACATGCTGACTTTGACACAAAAGAGGTGAGAGGACACAGCCCTGAGGGTCATAGCGCAAAGCACGAAAAACCAAACCAAAACTAAAACCAAGTAGATAAGCCATATAGTGACTGTGGAATGAGGATACATTTGGACTGACGACTAAAATATGCACAGTGAGGAAAAGGACGCATTCCTAACTTACGACGGAGTATTAGGGCCATACTAAGAGAAAAAAAATTTTGGGGGGGCGGAAATTACGAGAATAAAGTCATAATATTACGAGAATAAAGTCATAATATTAAGTCTACCGAGAATAAGTAGCTAACATCTTGCGAGAATAGAACGTCGTAACATTGCGACGAATAAGTCGTAAATCTGCGAGAATCAACGAAAGCGTAACAGGTACGACGAATCCCCAACGTCATAATGCATTAGGATCTACGAAAAGTAAAGCCTTGGAACATTGCGACGAATAAAGTTCGTACATTGTGAGAATCAAATCGTAACACTGCGTACTAGAGATCCAGAAACGTCGAAAAAGTTAGCGAGAATAAACGTAATATATCCATTGCGAGAAGGAATCAAACCAGATAATTTATCGAGAACTGTCAGCCTGTTCGGTGCCTCGCGCACAAAATGTTTACGACGAAAATGTGAATATTCAGTTACCCTGTTTGAGCTGTACCAG